GCTGACCACAAGATGTTTAAAGACCCGATTGAGCGAACATTGCAGAAATATCAAAAATGGATACTTAAATCATACAGTATCCAAACATTTTATTGTACACAATAAAGACCCTTATTTGCTCAAATGTATTGGTATAAAAAAATGTTCCACCCAATGGCGTGGGGGTGATGTTAAAAAGATATTAGGACAGACAGAAATGGAATGGGTGTATAATCTTCAGACCCTTATACCCCATGGCCTTAACGCAGACTTTGACCTGCATAATTTTCTATAAATAATTAATATCTTTGTCACTTTATCTCTTTTATATTATGTATTTCCTCTATATACTATGTGCTTTCATCCGTAAGGCTATTTGAGTGGCTTTTTAATAAAAACATAATTTATTTTTTCACTCTTATATATATATTTTTTTATTATTTTATTTTTCATTTTTATTTCTATTTTTATTTTTATTTTATTTCTCAATTCCATTTATTTTAATTGGTTTTAATTTAGTTTTTTTAGCATATTGGACCATTTTGCATTTTAACTACATATCCCATGATACTTCCGAACCGGAAGTATCTCCTTTTATGCTAATTATCCGTCCAAGCCCCTTTCATTATAATCCTTATATGCACTTTCATCAGTAGATCCAATTTTGTTTTATTTTTCCTCTAAGAGGGCTTCTCTATGGGAGAACTACACTTCCCATGAAGCTCCGCGGCTATACTTCCGATACCGGAAGTTCTGCGCGTCACATGACCCAGAAGTTTACCGGAATATTTTTAACCCGTTTTCATATTCCTTTTAATTATCCGTCCAAGCCCCTTTCATTATAATCCTTATATGCACTTTCATCAGTAGCTCCAATTTTGTAGTTCTATGGGAGAACTACACTTCCCATGAAGCCCCGCGGCTATACTTCCGATACCGGAAGTGCTGCGCGTCACATGACCTTGAAGTTCACCGAAATCTTTAATCCGTTTTCATATTCCTTTTATTTACCTATATCTGCCCAATTACTAGCTATTTGAATTCATAGGGCTTCTCCTTATATTATTTTGAATCTCTGTTAACCTTTTTGCTCTGCCGCATGGGGGAAACTACTACACCCATAAGGCTTTGCGGCCATCCACCCGAAACCGGAAATGCCGCAAAATCACGTGACCAATTGTCTCCGTGATTTCATACTTGTTTTTACCCTCGCTTTTAATAAAAACACACTTAATATGCCTCACGAAACAATGTATTACTTATAAATAATTGATTATTGTTATTTTAATATGTAAATATGTATCTGTATTCTGATTGGCCAAATTTTGTATTGAACTATGCCTATATAAACCCTTTCTGCCAGGTATTGTTTTGCATTCCATTTTGAAGAAGTCTGTATGACGAAACGCGTTAATGGAAACATAATTTTGTATAATAAATATTAAAGTTTTGGTTACTTGATAGTTCCCATTATCTTTATTTACACATTTATCCCAGGCAAGTTTTATATATATTTGATACATTTTTATCCTAAATTTAACAACACTTCCACAAGTTCCTGTACAGCAAAAGAAATCCTAGGTGGGGATTATTCCACCAGCGCTGACACCAAAGAGCAGTTGGCCTGCTCTGTACTTGTAAGTACGTGTGACCAGGGGCGTACCTAGAGCATTTGGCACCCGGGGCGGATCCTGTGCTTGGCACCCCCCCCACCCCCCCACAAAAAAAAAAAAACCTGTAAAAAATGTTAAAGGTTTTCTTTAATTAATCCACACTCCATAATTAATCCATACCCCTTAATTAATCCACACTAATTCATCCATTAATCCACACTAATTCATCCACACACCCACACTAATTCATCCACACACCCTTAATTAATCCACCCCCCTTAATTGATACACACACCCTTAATTAATCCGCACTAATTAATCCACCCCCCATAATTAATCCACACTAATTAATCCACCCCCCATAATTAATCCATCCCCCTTAATTAATACACCCCGCAATTAATATCCACCCCCTCCTTTCTCTCTCACCCCCTCCTTTCTCCTCTTTCTCACCCCCCCTCCTTTCTCCTCTTTCTCACCCCCTCATTTCTCTTCTTTCTCACCCCCCTCATTTCTCTTCTCTCACCCCCCCCTCATTTATCTTCTTTCACCCCCCTCATTTATCTTCTCTCACCCCCCTCATTTTATCTTCTTTCTCACCCCCTCATTTATCTTCTTTCTCACCCCCTCATTTATCTTCTTTCTCACCCCCCCTCATTTATCTTCTTTCTCACCCCCCCTCATTTATCTTCTTTCTCACCCCCCCTCATTTATCTTCTTTCTCACCCCCCCCTCATTTATCTTCTTTCTCACCCCCCCTCATTTTATCTTCTTTCTCACCCCCCCTCATTTTATCTTCTTTCTCACCCCCTCATTTATCTTCTTTCTCACCCCCCCTCAACATCTTCTCTCACCCCCCTCATTTCTCTTCTTTCTCACCCCCCTCATTTCTCTTCTTTCTCACCCCCTCATTTCTCTTCTTTCTCACCCCTACCTTTGCTGTAGGCGTGGCCGAGCCCAGTGTAGTCGGCGGGTACAGGGAGCAGCTGTCACTGTGTGCACTTCCTGTTAGTCCGGCCGGGTACAGGAGACAGCTGCTCCCTGTACCCGCCGACTACACTGGGCTCGGCCACGCTACATAGAGGGAGTGACAGGAGGGAGCGCTGAGCGCTTCCCTCCTGTCAGCCCCTCTCCTCAGGCTGCGCCCGGGCGGTGCGGTCCGCCTTCATGGACGCACCGCCCGGGCAAAGCTGCAGCCGCCTGAGGCGCTCTACAGAGCGCTCGGGCGGCTGCAGCATGGGGGGGCTGGTCATGGCACCCCCCACCCTGGTGGCACCCGGGGCGGACCGCCCCCCCCTTAGTACGCCACTGCGTGTGACAGACCCATCTGTATGGACTAAAAGTACTGTGTTCGTCTGTTTTGCTGTTTGCATGAATCTCCCCGTTCGTATGCTTTGTTTAAGGGAATGTCTTTTTTTGTCGAACGGAACTACCGAACGGACAGCCACCCAGAAGAGAAGTGTGCTGCTGGTTAACCTATTGATCCCAATTAGAACGTTGCGGTTAACCACAGACACTTCTCAATTAAAATCGAATACAGGGTGGTCGTCGTTCGTATGTCGACCACGAGGCGGCGGCTATTTTAACCATGCGAAAGCCCAGCGGTGTTCGACGATTATTCCATGGAACTAAAAACTGACACTTTTTCAACCGAACACCGCTGAAGCCGTCGACCTCCCCTTCTCAATCGACAAAAGCATACGAATACCGGCCGTTCGGGAGATTTAATAACACGAATGGACTTAACCCAGATAGCCTTCCCATGGAGTCAATCGCATACCGAAGAACTGTAATAGACTTTGACTCCATGGCGATTGAACTATGCGTATGGGATCTGAGCGCTATTCGCCAATAATATGCACTTAGATCCAGGCTATCTGGGGATGTGTTACACGAATGCAATATGTTCGGTAGTTATAAAGTTATATATTTTTATGTGTTTTGTGACTTGTATTTAAAATGGCGATTTGCCTCTGCTCTGGGAGATAATTGAATTACTTCCCAATTATCTCCCGAGCAGAGTGGAGGAAACTGTGATGCATGCTGGGAATATTAGGGGGATGTATGTCCAGAATGTCCCCATGTCCTTCTGTCATTTCAGTCTCCCATTATGTCCCCTAGGGGAGTGTCCACCAAGTGGGAGACATGCATAAATACGGGCAGGTAGCCCCCAGTAAACTCAGTTCATGTTTTACCCTCAAAGCGGAGCTTGGTCTCGTTATTGGGGGGATTTTGTTACCGGCGCCTAGAGACTGCTTATTGGAATTATTTGCCGCTTGGAAACTATTGCCGTTCGGCTGCTATTGGCGATTTGTGTATTTGGAGCTCGAGAAGGGAAAGGGCCGTACAGGTACCGTACAGGTACCGTTCGGGAGTTTGGAGTGTTCCCTGGCTGGCGGTTCGCATGGTTTCACTGCATACGCTACCAGACCACAGTATTGCGAACGGGGAACATTCACTAAATGGCGGTTTGTGCATTTAATTACTGGAGGTACCATAACAACTGGTGGCAAGCGACGGGATGATCCTCAACGCCCAAAGAGACCACTACAACCAGGATTAAAATGGAATTACAATACCAAAACCTGAGAAGAGCTACCCTAAAGGATTTATTAGAACAACGAGGTGGACAAGCCAGTAACCTCAGAAAAAGAGATATTATTGCGTTATTGCTGGAAATGGATGGAGTACCAGCGGCAGAGGGAACCAATGGACCCAGCACAGCTGACAGAACCCCCGAGGAGGCAAGCTTTGACCGGGCGGTAAGAATCAGGCTGGCCCATTATGGTCCCAACCCGACTACAGAGACCATTGACCGGGTCATGGCAGCTGTGGAGGCCAACCTGCTTTGCCAAAGCGGTGCTGCAGCAGCCCCAGTCACAGCGAACCCGGGAGAAAGAAAGTGCCATTTACTGCATTTAAAGCCTTCAGTGAGACAGAAGGAGAGATTGATGAGTACCTTGCTGATTTTGAGGGGCAATGTGCCCGGCACAAGGTACCCCTGGAGGACTGGGTTACTATATTGTCCGGCAAGTTATCCGGCCGGGCCAGCGAGGCTTTTCGGGCCATCCCTGATGAGGAGATTGGGGATTATGGGGCCGTCAGGGAAGCTTTACTCTCCCGGTATGCCGTTACACCCGAGGCGTACCGGAGGAGGTTCCGAGACACTGTCAAGACCTCTGGGGACTCGTACGTTGAATGGGCATGTAAGGTGCATCGCACAGCCGGCCACTGGATGGCGGGGTGCCAGGCTGTGTCCGGAGAAGAGGTGCTGCAGATGTTTCTTTTGGAACATTGCTTTGATAAATTGCCAGCAGGGGTCAGAGAGTGGGTAAGGGACCGTAAACCCTCCACTCTACACAAAGCAGCTCGCCTGGCGGATGAGTATACCGATGCCCGCAAACTGGACAGTTCCATCAGCAAGGCTCCCGCCAGAGTGGAGTACATGCCAGCAACACCAACAGCAGCTAACATCTATCAGCCTACAATGAATCGGCCATCAGCACCCCCTCCGTCTGCCCCGTATCAACAACCACCCAGGTTTAACTCACGAGAGTACACACAACCCATTCGGTGCTACCTATGCTAACAGCTAGGGCACAAGTGGCCAACCAGAACCAGTCCTGGAGGAGACCAGCCGGCGGCAATCCACGTCCTCCTCTGCCAGCCGCTCACTGTGTAGAGGAAGAGGAGTGCTGGGGCATCCTGCATGAGGCAGACCCCGTTCAGGCTGCCCACCGGCAATGTGTAAAAGTAAACGGGAAGGAGGTCAGTGGTCTACGGGATACCGGTGCAACAATGACTTTGCTCGAGAAGCACCTGGTATCCGAAGCCCAACATACCGGGGACACGGTCGCAGTGCGAGTAGCCGGGGGTGCCGTGTTTCGTCTACCCGTTGCCCGGGTACATTTGGATTGGGGAGTGGGCGCTAGACATGTGAATGTGGGGGTCATGAAGGACTTACCAGCGGATGTCCTCCTTGGCAATGACTTGGCGCCCCTTGTTTCAGCCTTCGCTCCCATGGGTCCCGCTGAAGTGGATGCTGTCACGACCCGTGCCCAGACCCATGCCCAGACCCGTGCCGCCGAGACCGGCCCACCTGCTGCTGAGACTCTCTACCCTGACTTGTACCTTAGACCAGGCCCGTTTAGGCTGGGATACCACAGAGATGTACGGGAAGGAAACTAGGGAAGACCCGACGCTAGCGAAGTACAGGGCTAGGGCCGATTCTGGGGGAGAAGGAGTAGATGGGGAGCACTACGAGTGGGTGGGGGATAGGCTGTACAGGATCCCGAAACCATCCCAGAAACCCCTCCGCAGAATCGACAGCTAGTGGTACCTGCAAAATACCGGCAGGAGATTCTGCGGATTGGGCATGATGTGCCGTTAGCAGGCCATCTAGGTTCCCGCCGCACAGCTCATAGAATCACACAAAACTTCTTCTGGCCCAATTTTAACCGAGATGTGCGGGTTTATTGTAGCACGTGTGACACCTGTCAACGGGTAGGTAAGTGGGGGGATCACCCAAAAGCTAGGCTTCAGTCGATGCCTATCATTGGAGAACCCTTTTCCCGCATAGCCGTTGACATTGTGGGTCCACTGGCCAGGGCTAGCCCATCAGGTAAGAAATACATTCTTACCATAGTGAACTATGCCACACGTTATCCAGAGGCAGTAGCCCTGTCTAATATAGAGGCACAGACGGTTGCTGATGCCCTGGTTAAAATTTTCACTAGGGTCGGGTTCCCTCAGGAGATTCTCTCCGATCAGGGAACTCAGTTCACCGCTGTGCTTACCCAGCAGCTGTGGAAGGTGTGCGGTATTAAACCTCTGCTTAGCTCACCTTATCACCCACAGACTAACGGTCTCTGCAAGCGATTTAATGGCACCCTTAAACAGATGTTGAGGACCTTTACTGACACTTGCAGAGACTGGGAGCGATTCCTGCCTCATCTGCTATTTGCATATAGAGAGGTGCCCCAGGAATCTACTGGGTTCTCCCCCTTTGAGTTACTCTATGGGAGAAGGGTCCGTGGACCCCTAGATCTCATTAGAGGACACTGGGAGGGGGAGACAGAGCAAGAAGGGATCCCCATAGTACCATATGTCCTGGAACTCCGGGACCGCATGGAGAAACTATCCCTGATGGTAAGGGAGAATCTCCAGGCGTCCCAGGGGAGACAGAAGCGGTGGTACGATCGGGGTGCCCGACAGCGGGTCTTCCAGGTTGGGCAGAAGGTTCTGGTGCTCAAGCCTGTGAAGACGAACAAGATGCAAGCATCTTGGCAGGGCCCGTATAACGTGTTAGCTCAGGTATGTGATACTACCTACCTTATAGCCAGCTGTTCAGATGAAAGGATTCAGCGATCCTTCCATGTGAACATGCTGAAGGAGTATCATGAACGACCAGAGCATGTTGCGGCAGTATGTGCCCCAGTTACTGACGACCCTGAGAATTTACCTTTACCTGACTTGTTAGAGAAGAATCCCCAGACAGACCTTACTAGTCTTGTACAGCTAGGGGACCGGCTAAACCCGGCAGAGAAGGTACAGGCAAGACAGCTTCTGTGGGAGAAGCAGGCGACATTCTCCCAAGAACCCGGGTACACCACCCTAGCTGTGCACAAGGTCGAGACACCTGGACAGAACCCCCTGCGACAACCCCCATACCGTATCCCTGAAGCAGTCCGAGAAGGAATGCGGAAGGAGATACAAGAGATGACCAGGCTGGGGGTTATCGAGCACTCAGACAGCCCTTGGGCCTCGCCTGTAGTTCTGGTGCCTAAGAAAGATGGGACCACCCAGTTCTGTGTGGACTACAGGCGGCTCAACGAGTGGACCACCACTGACGCCTACTCAATGCCCCGGGTAGACGAGTTATTAGACCGCATTGCCAGGGGACGTTACCTGACCACCATTGACCTGTGTAAAGGTTATTGGCAGATCCCCCTGGCCGAGGATGCTATCCCTAAGTCGGCATTCGTCACCCCATTTGGCTTATACGAGTTTAAGGTTATGCCATTTGGGATGAAGAATGCTCCGGCTACTTTCCAGCGTATGGTGGATAGGCTCCTCAATGGCTTCCAGGACTTTGCATGTGCATACCTGGATGACATTGCGGTCTACAGTGAGTCCTGGAAAGACCATTTAGTACACGTGGGGGTGGTACTGGACAAGATTCGGGCCGCAGGCCTGACCTTGAAGCCAGACAAGTGCCATCTAGGCATGGCAGAAGTGCAGTACTTGGGTCACAGAGTAGGATGTGGAAGCCAGAGACCGGAGCCAGCCAAGGTAGAGGCTGTAGCTAACTGGCCCACACCTATCACCAAGACCCAAGTGCTGGCCTTCCTGGGGACGGCAGGGTATTACCGACGTTTTGTTCCCGACTACAGTACGGTTGCCAAGCCCTTGACTGACCTGACTAAGAAGAATTTACCTAAGCAGGTCCTGTGGTCTCCAGCTTGTGAAGCTGCGTTTCAAGCACTTAAGCAGGCTCTTGTAAATGCTCCTGTCCTGGCTGCCCCAGTCCCTAACAAACATTTCCTTGTTCATACAGATGCTTCCATGTATGGACTGGGGGCTGTGCTGAGCCAGGTCGGGGAAGATGGAGGAGAGCACCCTGTCGCATACCTAAGCAGAAAGTTACTACCTCGGGAAGTGAGTTATGCGGCAGTGGAGAAAGAGTGTTTAGCCCTGGTCTGGGCACTGAAGAAATTGAGCCCTTATTTGTACGGGCAGGAGTTTTCTCTTATAACGGATCACAATCCCCTTGTCTGGCTTAACCGGGTCTCAGGAGACAATGGCAGACTGCTAAGGTGGAGTTTGGCACTGCAGCCTTACAACTTCACCATCAGCTACCGACCCGGTAAGCAGAATGGGAATGCGGATGGGTTATCTCGGCAAACAGACGTCCCTACTCCTTCCCAGTCCGGTCATCCCCAAGTTGACCCGCCAAAGGGGATGTGTTACACGAATGAAATATGTTCGGTAGTTATAAAGTTATATATTTTTATGTGTTTTGTGACTTGTATTTAAAATGGCGATTTGCCTCTGCTCTGGGAGATAATTGAATTACTTCCCAATTATCTCCTGAGCAGAGGGGAGTAAACTGTGATGCATGCTGGGAATATTAGGGGGATGTATGTCCAGAATGTCCTTCTGTCATTTCAGTCTCCCATTTGGTCCCCTAGGGGAGTGTCCACCAAGTGGGAGACCTGCATAAATACGGGCAGGTAGCCCCCAGTAAACTCAGTTCGCGTTTTACCCTCAAAGCGGAGCTTGGTCTCGTTATTGGGGGGATTTTATTACCGGCGCCTAGAGACTGCTTATTGGAATTATTTGCCGCTTGGAAACTATTGCCGTTCGGGTGCTATTGGCGATTTGTGTATTTGGAGCTCGAGAAGGGAAAGGGCCGTACAGGTACCGTTCGGGAGTTTGGAGTGTTCCCTGGCTGGCGGCTCGCATGGTTTCACTGCATACGCTACCAGACCACAGTATTGCGAACGGGGAACATTCACTAAACGGTGGTTTGTGCATTTAATTACTGGAGGTACCGTAACAGTACGTTTTTATTTTCACCTACTATATATATCCATACAGAGAGCACTATCTGGATTGTTTCTGTTCTCTTTGAGTTTCTGGATACCTCTGAAGAATCGATACTCACCACATATCCCATAAGCGGGGATTATACCGCTGTGTGCGCTTTACCCTAGAGCTGGACAGAAGCTCTTATAAATTGTGAGTTCGCTACTTTTATTCTACTTCACTTGAACCATACATATATCAGTTGTTCTCTCTTTTTATCTTTTATATTCAATACCCGAAGACTCTGTTCCTGTATCCAAGGACGACAGAGAGGACATTTTTAGGTTGGACTTTTACCATTATTTGGACTGGATATTATCTCTTTTACCTTGGCGCAGCCCTTCTTTTATATTTTGTTATCACTACCATTTGTTAACAATATGTGTTTGATAATACACCACATGTTTATTCACTTATATGAATGTTGTACACACCTATATATTGTGTTTTTTTATGTGCTACATTAGCTTGAAAAAAGCCCTGATAGGGCTGAACCGTTGCTTTGTAGTTCTTGGTTCAAATAAATTGCCTTAAAATTTGGAATCTATTGGAGTGCCTGGATTATTTTCTACAATTATCTACTATTGGTCCTATCTGGGTACTGGGACTTTCCAAGAAGCACCCTGGTTTCCATTGTGAGGGGCAGAGTGCACTTCCATCTTTGATTATACGGTTTATGTGAGTACCTGGGAAGTTTTTGCACCTTTACATTAAGTCTATTGTTTTTTCCATTTTTGGACTATTGCATAAATATATACTATTGGCAAATCTTGGAACCTGGAACCCAATCCAGCACAAGCATATTTGCTTATACTGATAATGAGGCCAGACGTATCTTATCAGCCGCTGAAAGCAATTTTGAATTTCTTAATGTTCCAAGCAGTGACACTATTGTTAAAAAATTGGAAAAGCAATTAAAGAAAAATGTAAGTCTAAAGCTTCATAGTGTCACATTGGCAGAATATTATAAGGTGAATCGTATTCCTAGATGTATGCGGATGAATGTACTACCAACATTATTTA